GTGACAAAAAAATAGGAAATAGAAATAAGCCAACTATCCACTTATTGACATTAATCTTACTAGCTGAACAAATGAAATAAAATAAAATAAAATCATAAAAGAGGAGGAAAAAAGATACATAACTGTCATACTATAGTTTTTTTCTGCTGTAGGGATTTACATAAATGGAATCATATAGTAGGTAGCCTTTTGTGTCTTTTTCATTCACTTAATGTTTTCAAAATCCATCCATGTTGTTGTGTGTATCTCTAGTTCATTTCTTACTTCTGATAAATATTTTCCTGTATGGGATACACTACAAGTTATTACAATATATGACTTTTTGTATCTAGCTTCTCTCTCTCTCCTTTGTATAGATGAAGAACCAAAAGAATTAAAATTGAAGCTTGGAAAACGGATTCAGGATCAAAATGGGATAGAGGCAGTATATGTTAGGGTCTGGGCAGCCGCCAAAAAAGGGCTATATTGTGGCCAGAGTGGGCTGTCAGGACTTTAAAATTGGGGCATAAACTGAGTTGGAATGAGGGGCCAGATAATCTGTATAAACTAGCGCTGCAGGGTAGGCTACTAAGTTAAGGGACCAGGGTGAGGTCTCCACATTTCCCTGGGAAGGAATAGTCTTCTTTATTTTTTTAAGATGACTGGTAAGGGGATCTTAACCTTTGGCTTGGTGTTGTCAGCACCTCGCTCACCCAGTGAGCAAACCGGCCATCCCTATAGGGGATCCGAACCCGTGGCCTTGGTGTTATCAGCACCGCACTCTCCTGAGTGAGCCACAGGCCAGCTCGGAAGGAATAGTCTTGATGCCACCCTCAGGTAATGGTTATGGTCGAGCTTTTTGTTGAACAGGCTCACATTTTGCTTTCTTGAGCTTTGTTCTGTGTTTCTTGAACGAAGCCTTTAGGAAGGTCCTCTGAGCCTGACATCTTCTCATCTAGATGTGTTTCCACATTTTCTCTGTATCTGTTGAGACGATCATATGGGGTTTCTCCTATAATTTATAAAGTGAATTTTCTCAATAGTTTCTATTTTGTTTATGATAAGCCAAACTTGCATTTCTGGGATAAATCCAATTTGATCAGGATATATTATGTTTTTTAAAAAAAATTCATTATTGAATCGGTCAAAATTTTGTGATTTTTTTGAATATGTGTTTATGAATCAGGGTGAGTCTATAATTTTATTTTCTGCATAGTTTTATATTTTAATTCAAAGTTACATTTACCTGCATAATCAATTTTGGAGAATTCTTCCTCCTTTTTCATTTATCAGGAAAATTTTCTAGACATTTGAAATAACTTTTCCTTGAAAGTTTAATAGAACATTCCTGTAATATGTCTAAACCTGGTTTTTATTTTATGGAATGACAGTAACAAATTGATCTAGGTAGTGTTTGCATCACTTTGCATTTCCACCAATAATGTATAAAATACCTGTTTCCCCACAGGTTTGCCAACAGAGTACACTGTCAATCTTTTGGTTTTTTGCTGAATAATAAATGAGAAGTGGTATTTTAGTTTAGTTCTTAGTTTTTATTTCTTTTGTTATGATAAATTCATTGAAATTAACTTCAAAGATTATATATTTTTATTCCTAGAAGTTCTATTTTGTTCTATCTCAAGTCTTGGTTATCCTTGTCTCTTGTTTTTTGCTCATTATTTTAAATCCAATTTTTATTTCAGCAAATGTTTTATACATAGCTATTTAAAATTTAGTATGTAATCATTTTAATAAAACAAATAGCTTGGCACAAAATCTCTTTGTTGTATTCATGATGTTTGGTCACAACCACTGTTTCCTTGCGTGTGCAGTAATTTCCAGGCACTGTTTTATGCTTGGGATGTATCAGTAAACAAAACAATCAACGGGTTCTGCCCTAATGGAATATGAAACGTAGGGAGAGACTAAGAATGACAGTCAACAAAACGTGAGTAAATTATGTTAGAAAAGTATGCTAGCAATTGAATAGTACTATGGAAAAAGGAAGTGGAGCCCAGAAAGGGGATTACAAGACCCAGGGGTGAGGACAGGTGGCACCTTAAATTGGATGGCCGAGGTAACCTCACTGAGGCAGTGGAATTCAAGGAAGCACTTGAAAGAAAACAAACTGTATGGATATTTTAGAGAAGAGCATAGAGAGAGAAACCTGTATAAAGGCCCTAAGGTGACACAGCCAGTGCCTAAAGTTTCCAACGAACAGCAAGAAGCCAATGCAGCTAGAGAGGAAGGAGGACAGTGGTGGGAGAGAGCCAGAAGGTAATGGGTTTACATGACTCTGGCTTTTACTCCAAGTGAGCTGGGAAGTGCTGGGAGCCATCAGAGGGCTTGGAGCAGAGAAATGGCGGGATCTGATCTCTGTCACTCTCCTCCTGAGAACAGACTCTATGTTGATAAGTGTGGAAGTAAGGAAATGACCTAGGAGACTATAACAAGAATCTTGATGCATATTGATAGAAGCTGGAAGCAGGACAATGGTGGTGAAGGGGGTGAAAAGCTTTTGGATTGGATATATTTGGAAGAAAGAGTCACAAAGATTTGCTGATGGATCATCCGTGGGAGATGTGAGAGAGGGGTTGTACAATTATGGAAATGGAAAGGTGCGGATAGAACATCGGGGTAAAGGGAATCAAAAGTTAAGTTTTAGACATGTTAAGGTTGAAATGTTTATTACATATCCTAGGAGAGATGTTGGGTAGACAACTTGATGTGCAAGTCTGGAGTTTGGAGGAAGAGGTCTAGGCTGGGAATAGAAATTTGGGACTAATAAGCATGTATTTAATTTCATGAGTGTCACACTTCTCTCTGTGTAACAGAGATGAAAAAAGGATTACTCAAAGCACCATGAATGCAATGAGAAGCCCGAAGGGACGACACCTCAGCAACTCCTCTGTTAGAAGGAGAAAACTGGGTACAGCCCTGATTCAAAGTTAGCNGATACTGTGATTATCTGAGTAACACCTGAAAAATTACCCATTACTTTTCTTTTTATTACTCATCTGTATTGTCTAAAGTTTCTATTACCGAACACATTACTTTTGTAACAACTTGTTTTTTCTTGTTTTTATTTTTCCAGAAAAAGAAAGCACTTTGAAAACACAGAAATGGTGACTGGAACTTTGAGATTTCCTATCCAGAATTACCTACAAGTCAAGTTTTATTCCAATTTATTCAACAGGGCAGATTAAACATGAAAGCAAAATGGTATGCTCCTTTAGGCAGCAACTCTTGCTGCTTTCCTGGGTACTTTGACCTATATAGAAAATTGTTCAAAGATGTTTACAACCACATACATATTCTAGAAAATTTCAGCCTTGAAGTCACACTTCTCCATACCTGCACAACTTTTTAAAGTGAAACCAGACACCCGAACAAAATCTTTGTTTGCGAGTGCAGGATACAATTTCCCCAAGAGCCCCAAAAGTAAGAAAGCCTTCCTTTCCCCCATGTCAACTCCTGATCACACACTGGAAGATGCAGCAAGTGAGGAATACCAAGCCAAGACACAAACACTGGGACACGACCATAGGGTAGGCAGGCCGGCAGGTGTATGGCTCAAATGGCTGTGATCCACAGCAGTAAAATACCTGCGATAGCCTCACATTCACAACCAGTTTGGCAGAGTTTCCAACACAGGCTGGGGGATTTAGTTTTCCCCATATAAGGCAATGACAAGGATTTCAAATGGACCAAACATTTTATGTTAGTGTCAATGGCATTAACACAGCTTCAACTGGCAGAGGAGAGGAAATCAGGAATACCTGCATTATTTACTCCAGAGAAACTGCCCGAGCACCATCTATCCTCAGCTCCCTGCTCCCCTCCTGGTGAGGCCCTTTCTGCAGAGTACCCTTGCCCAGCTCTGTGAGCCCCCCAGTCATGTGTCTTGGCCCAATAACTTCAAATCCCAATGTTTCTCTGAATGTAGAGATTTGGAAAGTTAATTTTAATAGAATAGTTGATCACAAAGCAGATCTCTTAATGCTGGAAAGTATTATTAGTTGTCCGGTTGCAAAAATGATTTGCTCCTCCAACCTTTATTCTAAGATTGAATGTGATGCTTTCCCTATATAATGGGTGGGTGGTGGGGGGAGCTGGATTACATTGCATGGAAAATCAATACTCTTGCACTCTAGGGTCTATGAACTGGTTCAAGGTCACAGAAGTTGAATAAGAAAGCCTATTGAATTAGCAATAGGAAAATACGCAAAGAAAAGGCAAGTTTCCAAAACATTTACAAACCACATATCGTGTCCACATTTCTGTCTAGTTGGTTTTTACAGAAACATTGGCCTTACTGGAAATAAAACTATCCCACTTTGAAAATCAGGGGAACAGTATTAGTAAGTCAAGACTAAAGCAAGATCCAATCGTGAGTACATATCTATAGACTGTAAAGAATATTAAAATGAGATGTCTCAAGAGAGTAAAAACCCAAGACCTTTTCATTAAAAATTAAAACAACCCATTTATATAGAAGTAGTTCAAAGTTTATTTATAAATTTGTTTTAAAAAGTATAAGTGATTTATTTTTTCTTTTGTTCATATTTATAACCCAGCTTAAAAAAGTAAGGATTAAAATCTAAAAAGACCCCAAAGCTTCCCCAAACCTGACCTGAGAATTCTATAAGAATTAGTCCCTTAGAGAGACAAGCCTGCAGCACCCATAGCTCTCACTAACCTTAAATGGTCAAGTGATTCCCTCTTTTTCTATCTTACTAACATTGCTGTGATTATACTTCCAATAAGAGGCCAAACCAATTAGAAAAACAGAGTAACATCACACTGGCAGTAGAGATTAAGGATGAGTCCAGTCATCAGCTCCTGCAAACACGTGTACATGATAGGCAGGAACTGGTCATCCCTGATTGTTCAGTCAGGTGTGTGGGCAGTTATTTAAAGTCAAGGTAAAAATAGTGGGGCAGAACAAAATCACATAAAGCAAAGCATCTCAGGAGGTTTTCAAGGTCAGCTGGTGAAGGCCAGATGGAAGTAAATATTTCTCATATATCCTGGAAGAAAAAAAAAAAAAAATTACCACAAGCAGCAAAGTAAAATCCAAAGCCTTTGTAGTTCAAAATGAAATTTCTTCAAAGAAACTCTTATTGCATCAAGCTAAAATGACCATTCTTTAATGATTCTAAAGTACCAGTGAAATGATTTAATTTTCAAATCACATTGCCTTTGATTCACAAAATAGTCTCTGTCCAGAATATAAAGTGTCAAGTGACATCTGATTGTCTGTGTTCTTAGAGACAGGCTGACATAGGTCACAAATGACTAATTTTCAAATCACATTGCCTTTGATTCACAAAATAGTCTCTGTCCAGAATATAAAGTGTCGAGTGACATCTGATTGGCTGTGTTCTTAGAGACAGGCTGACATAGGTCACAAATGACAGTGGTCACAGTGTTGTCACCCACCCCCATAGTTCTGGCAAGAACAGGATGAACACAATTTGGAGCAGAGGAATTTAAATGGAAATGTACCAAGTGCAGCTGCCCTGGATTACACAGCAGGAAGGTGACTTCTAGGGGGTCCCTGAGGTAGGAAGAAAGACTAATGAGTCCCCGCCCCCACTACGTGCAAAGAATCAAGAAATCTCCATCAAGCCTTCCACAATGCTGGGCCAAGCTACATTTGGGACACAGACTACCAGTGTTTTTTTGTTTGTTTTCTTTCTAAACACTCTAGGAAACTAAAATCTCAGGTTGACTCACAGGCTATGGCAAATGCTTCACTGCCCTTGAAGACATAGGATTTGTTCTTCCACAGCATCCCAAAATGTCTCACCTTCTGGTATCAGAGAAAATGTCACTTAAAGTGGTTTTTTAAGTGTCCCACCCTACTTCCTTCATGACAATAGGGGACTCTAGAAGAGCAAAATGCATTTTTAAAATATAAAATCATTTCAAATTATTGAAAAGTAAATATGAGGACATATTAAGTAATATGAGAAGACTGTGATTTAAAATAAAAGTGGTTAAAAAAAATAATGATCCAGTTTGTCTATGCAACATACATTTATTAGGGGCCTACTGCTTAAGGGTCTATGTGGCATTTCGAGAAACAACTGTTTCTTTCCATGGCTTTCATCATAGTTGTATCATGTTTTTTGCCTTCCTCCTTTTCTTCTCCGTGTTCAGCTTTTTCTGGTTCCAGTATTTTCTCCAAGCCCCATCTGTGAGTTGGAGCGTAGCTCTCTTCTCTCATTCGTTGGGGAAGCTCAGTCCTCATCTATCAACTTCTAAACAAATGACACATTCTTAATATATTCTTTATACTAACTTTCCACTTGTTATTGACAAAACATGTCCTAAATAAAAGTTTAGTTTATAGCTTCTCTTCTGACTTTTGTATATCTTTTGATGAACAGATGTTTTAAATTTTAATGTGGATAGATTTATAATTTCTTTTTGGTTTATACTTTGGGTCTTAAAATCCTTCCCTAGCTCAATTTTATAAATAGCTTCTTTGTTTCTTTCTAAAATTCAAACAGTCTATTTATAAACTTTAATACGCTTGGAATAGATTTTTTGTGAGTGGTGTTAAGAAGGGACCTAATTTCATGTGGGCACTCAATTGTCCCAACAGCATTTCTTGAAAGGTCCATTTTCCCCCAGCAATGTGCTCCGCCTCTTCTGTCATACATCAAAATTCCAGAAATGGTTGGTTCTGCTGGTGTCAACTGCATACCAGGTTGGATAATTAAGTCCCCATATGTACTTCTTTATCTGTAGAAGTGAATTTGCTATTCTTGGTTCCTTGTTTTGATTACAATTTAAGTAAATCTATAGATTGAGAGTCTACCCCTATCCATTAACAAGGTATAACTCATTATTTATTTATTCCTTAATGTATTTCTACAAAATTTAAAAAAAATTTTTTTTTTAAATGGTCATACAACGTTTGGTTGGATCTTAGGTTAACAAGGTATAACTCATTATTTATTTATTCCTTAATGTATTTCTACAAAATTTAAAAAAAAATTTTTTTTTAAATGGTCATACAACGTTTGGTTGGATCTTAGGTTTTTTGTTTATTCTTGATGTGTAGGAATGAAGTTAGTTTTTATATACTGATTCTATATCCACCCACGTTATTACTCTAATAATTTGAATATAAATTCTTTTGAATTTTCTATGTAGATAATTATATCATCTGTGATTTATAAATGCTTTTTTCCTAATCCTTACATCTGTTTTAGAGGAAATGCTTCTGACATATTTTTATTATTGTCATAGAGTTTTGATCCTTTTATTAGGCAAAGAGATTTCCTTTCCACTCCTAGTTTACTAGAAGTTTTTACCACAGAGTTAAAATTTATATATTCTTAGTTTTAAGTTGTATATATTTATGGAATACATGTTTTGATATATGTATACAATATGGAATGACAATTGACATATCCAATTAATATATCCATTACCTCACATACTTATCTGTTTTTGTGTGTTAAGAACAATTGAATCTACTCTTTTAGCAATTCTCATATATACAGCACATTATTATTAACTATAGTAACCATACTGTACAGTACATCTCCAGAACTTATTCACAGAAGGATTTTAAGCAGAGGAATGATGCAAAAATTCTCAAGTAAAAATGGGGTTACCGTGGTTACTATTTGTAAAACACTGGGGGAAGTCTAAATGAATAAAGGGAGCTTGATTATAAGGTCATTCAAGTAACCCAGGGCACATAGAATGATAGCCGGCTGTCAAGCAGAGTCCTGTGGATTATAAGTAGTAAAAAAAATTCATTAGCTAAAAAATAAAATGATGGCTGGGGAGGTGACAAAAAAATAGGAAATAGAAATAAGCCAACTATCCACTTATTGACATTAATCTTACTAGCTGAACAAATGAAATAAAATAAAATAAAATCATAAAAGAGGAGGAAAAAAGATACATAACTGTCATACTATAGTTTTTTTCTGCTGTAGGGATTTACATAAATGGAATCATATAGTAGGTAGCCTTTTGTGTCTTTTTCATTCACTTAATGTTTTCAAAATCCATCCATGTTGTTGTGTGTATCTCTAGTTCATTTCTTACTTCTGATAAATATTTTCCTGTATGGGATACACTACAAGTTATTACAATATATGACTTTTTGTATCTAGCTTCTCTCTCTCTCCTTTGTATAGATGAAGAACCAAAAGAATTAAAATTGAAGCTTGGAAAACGGATTCAGGATCAAAATGGGATAGAGGCAGTATATGTTAGGGTCTGGGCAGCCACCAAAAAAGGGCTATATTGTGGCCAGAGTGGGCTGTCAGGACTTTAAAATTGGGGCATAAACTGAGTTGGAATGAGGGGCCAGATAATCTGTATAAACTAGCGCTGCAGGGTAGGCTACTAAGTTAAGGGACCAGGGTGAGGTCTCCACATTTCCCTGGGAAGGAATAGTCTTCTTTATTTTTTTAAGATGACTGGTAAGGGGATCTTAAGAAACCTGTATAAAGGCCCTAAGGTGACACAGCCAGTGCCTAAAGTTTCCAACGAACAGCAAGAAGCCAATGCAGCTAGAGAGGAAGGAGGACAGTGGTGGGAGAGAGCCAGAAGGTAATGGGTTTACATGACTCTGGCTTTTACTCCAAGTGAGCTGGGAAGTGCTGGGAGCCATCAGAGGGCTTGGAGCAGAGAAATGGCGGGATCTGATCTCTGTCACTCTCCTCCTGAGAACAGACTCTATGTTGATAAGTGTGGAAGCAAGGAAATGACCTAGGAGACTATAACAAGAATCTTGATGCATATTGATAGAGGCTGGAAGCAGGACAATGGTGGTGAAGGGGGTGAGAAGCTTTTGGATTGGATATATTTGGAAGAAAGAGTCACAAAGATTTGCTGATGGATCATCCGTGGGAGATGTGAGAGAGGGGTTGTACAATTATGGAAATGGAAAGGTGCGGATAGAACATCGGGGTAAAGGGAATCAAAAGTTAAGTTTTAGACATGTTAAGGTTGAAATGTTTATTACATATCCTAGGAGAGATGTTGGGTAGACAACTTGATGTGCAAGTCTGGAGTTTGGAGGAAGAGGTCTAGGCTGGGAATAGAAATTTGGGACTAATAAGCATGTATTTAATTTCATGAGTGTCACACTTCTCTCTGTGTAACAGAGATGAAAAAAGGATTACTCAAAGCACCATGAATGCAATGAGAAACCCGAAGGGACGACACCTCAGCAACTCTTCTGTTAGAAGGAGAAAACTGGGTACAGCCCTGATTCAAAGTTAGCTTCTGCTTTTTATTGTAAAGACAAGGCAGTTTCACAAGAAAAATCAGTTGATTCAATCATTACCAAAGGACACAAAGACATGGGCAGTGTTATGAAAGTTGTCTATGGCTAAGTGTAGCTTAAACAATGGAAACTAGTACATCAGTAAAATTAACATTCCAAAGTACAATTTGTGAAAAGCTAAGTTGGTCAATCTGCAATCATTGTCTAAAATATAACCTCTCCTTAAATGATATAAGCAAAAGTTGCATTCTTATGATAAAATCTAAGTATAATTATCTCTAAAGTTTCCACCAACAGACAGCTTGCCCCTAGCAAACATTTTTTCACATCTTCCCCTTAGGCAATTCTTAAAATCTCTTAACAGGATTGGTATGACAACCACCTGTTAGCTCTAAAATCATTAAAGCATACAATCCCATACCTAAGCAGTGATTAGAGTTGATTAGATGGGCTGTTACCATGATATCTGTAGACTGTTGTCCCCTAAACCGAGGACTTTTGTCCCATACATGTATTTATCTTAAAACCCTATTCTAAAAATCAAATGAGAATCAACATTATTTAATTAGAATTGATTAAATGGGCTGTTGCCACACTATCTGTAGACTGTGTCTCCTAAGCTGAGGACTTCTGTCCCATAAATGCATTTATCTAAAAACCCTATTCGAAAAATCAAATAAGAATCAAGGTTTCTAACCCTCTACACATTAGGACAAATGAGGCCACCAAGGTATTAAGTGAACACAAAGTTCAGAAAGTAATCAGGCAGGTGTGGGGGATTCAGCAAAGGAAAGTGAAAAGGAGTGTCTACTGAGACATGTGGAAACCCAGGGGAGTAGAGTGTCCCCGAAGCCAAGTAAAGAAACAGCCTCAGAGGGAGTGATTCACCAGGAAAAATGATGCTGATAGGTACAAAGATAAAGATTTAAAAATAACTATTGGATTTTGCAATATGGACACTGTTAGTGACCATCAAAAGAGTTTTTTTTTTTTTTTTTTTTGGATTGGTAGAGTCTAAAACCTGATTAGATTGGGTTTAAGAAAAAATAGGAAGAGAGAAGTTAGAGACAGCAAGGTTAGACATTTCAAAGTTTTACTCTATAGTGGAACAAAAAAACAGGTCAGTAGAAGAGAGAAAAGGGGTGTCAATAGAATTTGTATTTATTTATGTCTTATGCTGATGGGAATTTTCTAGTTGAGATGGAACATTTGGCGATTCAGTAGAGGGGGGAGAATTCTTAGAACAAAATGACCCAGTAGGTAGAAGAGAGAGAATCTCGTCCATAAAGAAAAGCACACAGAGCAGCACAGATGTCTGCAGGTAAGGAGAGGTGGGGTGGGAGCCCGCAGAGGGTCTCACCTTTCTATCACTGCTTCTTTCCGGTAAGGGAAGTGCCCATGACCGCTTTGGACTTGGACGTGCCCATCCTATTAAGGGAACTTCACCCAATCATCCTGTTACATTGCCCGCAGAGGGTCTCACCTTTCTATCACTGCTTCTTTCCGGTAAGGGAAGTGCCCATGACCACTTTGGACTTGGACGTGCCCATCCTATTCAGGGAACTTCACCCAATCATCCTGTTACATCGTGAGAAAACAATAGTCTTCTCTTTTACCTGTGAGGAGTCTAAGCAGGTATTTGTAGCTCCCCTAAGACCTAACAATAGGAATTGGGGAGCCAGACTGCCAAGTCCTCACTGCCTTAGGCCCATGTGGTGTTCATTTACACTCTCCCATCATCTTCCCCTCAATCCCAGGTATTTTTCTAGGTATTTTCTAAATTTTAGGAGTCGTTAAGAAAGGGAGAAATGACAAATGAGCAGCGAGTTTCCAAGTCCTGACTAAAATCTGAATTCCAAATGTGTTTCACAGCTAAGTTATAGGAACTTGGATAATGTCTTCAACTCACAATGCCCCATATTTCACATGACTCCTACGCACACATTCTTATGAATAAATCAATAATGTGTCTATTGTATCACACAATGCAAAGATACTGTATTTGGAGTCCTTTCTCTCTTCCATGTTGTCCCTATTCTGAATGCCATAATGAAGCAAATGAGCATATATTATGAATAAATAGACACATCCAGGATGCATTTTCTGCAAATATGCTGATGTTCAGTTATCATGTGTATACATTTGTAAAATCCATATATCAATTTTAACTATTAGGTGCCTTTCAAGGAAACATGCATATAAGATTTCTAACAGACTGACTTCTCAAACCACTATTTTGTCTCTCGAGTATTTATTTAAGGATAATCTTCTCTAGAGTTTCCCAGTCAGCAAGCACTTGATTATTTTATTGTATTTTACCAGTTTAAAGATTTTTATCTGCTCAATAAATATGAGGGTACCTCAAAAAGTTTGTGGAAAAATTTGTATTATCTTTTATATTGTGTATATATGTAAGGGTACTTCAAAAAGTTCACAGAAAAATAGATTTATATATATGTATGTGCATGCATTTGAGGGTACATATGCTCTTGGGCTTCAATTAAACTGTAAAACCTACAGTTATTAGTTTTGATTCCGTACATATTGCAAACCTCCCAATCACATACATTTCAAAGCTTTGGTGCTGGTTCAATAATATACTGTGTGCACAAAACACATTAAACACGTATTACAACAGAGTGGCAAGGTTTTCTTCACAGAAATATGTGAAAATATTTTATTTTTTTAAATGCCTTTTGCTGTAGGGTTTTAAAAAATCATTTTGTAGACAAAAATTAAATATTAGTTTCTCTGATGTGCTAGTTTCACAGTAAGAATAAATTACTAGAGAATACTTACTACTTTTATATCCATATTTCACTTAAAATCTTCCTGAAAAAAAAAATGTTCATTTGTTTTTGTTGGAGGTCTGGGTAAGGGATGATTAAAAGCCTTCCAGTCCAAGCAATCATGCTGAGAACAAAGGGCAGGTGCCACTGTTTATATGACTGACCAGAGCTGAAATCAGGACTTTCTCCCTGTCTCAGAAGCTATTGTGGAATTTACAGTAATCACCCTGACTGACTGCCCATCACACAGCTGAACAGCATACCAAGAAAATAATATCTGGAGAGAAGGCCATGACATATTTTTTAAAATTTCATTGTTTTTATTCTTCAACTTTGAAAGATGATTTTTTTTTAAGAGAAAAGAAAAAACTCACCCAGCTGTTACCGCTATTCATATTCCAATAGCCTCCAGACTGCTCGAGGCCACCTGGTTGACTTCTGCCTTGGAGTCGGTCCAGAAAAGCATTATTTACCCTTTAAAACAATGAAAAATGTGTGTAAGTAGAGAGCTTGCTGCAGGGCTAAGAGATTTTTGAGAACCTGATGTGCTGTATGAACGGACTGTGGGGTTTGCTCCCACCCTTTGGCTTAGAAATCTGCAGAAACTTCTTTTCACATTACCATATGTCATGCTGTAAACAGCCCTTTTCTGGAGCTGGTGCCAGTCAGTCTTGGCTCAGGCCAAAGGGGCACAAATGTCTGACTTACGAGTTTCACACACACATCTTCTACCAGTTCAGCAAGAGCCTTGGTCACCCAAGGAACTGCACCCCTCTGGGCCACGCCAGGCATGAGCTCCAGAGGCTGAGGGAAGATGGAAGCCTTAGCAAGAACCAAAAAATAAGAGCCACCAAAAATAGCTCTGGGGCAAAAATTTTTGCAAGACAGACATCTTTCCCATATACTCTGTACCCCACTGACATTCTTGCTTAGGGAAACTCCTTAAGTGATAAAAAGGAAAATGGGAAGAGAGTATGGGAAAAGGAAAAAATTAGGAGAAGTTGAAGCTTTCAAAAAAAGAAATGAGTGCATCTTCTTCTGATGTTCTATTATACTTGCAGCAACCAATTAAGTTCAACACATAGGAGGTAAAGCTATAAAGAAAGGCAAGAGAGTGATAGTCATAAAGGTTAGGATAAGGGTGACCTGTAGGGGGATGGTTATATTCTGTATCTAGAGCTGGCGACCTGTGTTCACTTTATAATCAATTACTCTAAGTATTTGTTTTATGGACTTTTCTGTATCATATTATAATTTTTAAATTAAAAAAATGAAAGGCCACATCATGCTCTGCATTGCCCAAATATGGCTGAGCAGAATCAGGGACTTGGAGGCTGGAGAAATACCTGTGATATCAACAGATTATTAAGGAACAGCATCAATAAGACAATAAGCACCTTAGAAGGAGAAACACAGCACTTGACACACAGCAGCCACTCAATACATGTTTATGGAAGGAAAGGAAGGCAGGGACCAGTCATATTAGCCTCCTTTTCAGTCATGAAGATTGACAGACTATGGTCACGGTAGGTGGCTACCAGTCAAGGACTGTTGGAGATTTGGGAACTTTGAGGAAATGGCTGGGTGGCAAGTCAAAGGTAAAGGTTGTCTGTGCTTGCTTGGTGCTAGCTAAGATGCCAACCTCATGTTAACTCAGTTTGAGCTCTGGGTTACTGAGTAGCTGTTTCAAAGCTTTAAGTCCCATTAGGCAGTGGTCACATCCCAGCTATTATAAAGCTTTTTTCCCTCTTCTCATAAAATCTAGCCAAGTGCCATATTCGGTTAGCCTGGCTCACTGCAGAGCTCCATGTTTAAGCTACCTTTTATAATCTCCCAGCATGCAGATTGAACAGTATCTTATTAAGCTGGGGACTTGAATATTAAGGAAGAGAAAACTGAGCCCGATTCTCCCTAAATACTACAACCAATGAGTATTCTGGACTGCCCGTACGCTTGGGGCTGTTTTTATCTAGTCTTTTTGTCAGTAACAAAGCATCCCCCACCACATCCAGACCACTAGAGGTCTTGCCCGCTGTGCTGTACCTGCTAAACACATCCCGAACTCACCCATTTCTTTCTGTGGACACCATTCTGGTTCAAATCACCAACATGTCTCACTTTCCTGCTGCTTTCACTCCCGCCCTCTGCAATCCATCTTCCACACAACCTTACTAAATTATAAAAGAGATCTTGCCTTCTTTTTGCTTACAACCCTCCCATAACTTCCCATTGGTCTTAGAATAAAATCACTGGCTTACAAAATCTTGTATTATCTTGCTCCTACCGACCTATTCCAACTCATCGAGCATTATTCTCCACCTCGCCCACTATACTCCAGGCATCTGGGACTCAAGTCCAGGTTTATGCCCACTCTAGAGCCCTTGCACCTGCTCCTCCCTGATAATAGGGGGCCACCCAAGTCCATGTTACTGCCCCCAGTCTTTAGGTGGCTGGCTCTTCCTTGTCCTTTGAGGTCATCTCTTCAGTGAGGCCTTTCTTAGTCATCTGTCACCTGCAATTTCTCCCTTAACTTCTCCCTGTGATATGATCCTTACACTATGTATCACTATCTGAAATAATCTTGCTGTCCAATTATAGACTTCTGTTTCTCTCTCCCGGATTGTAATTTCTATGTGATCAGAGACCTTTTCTGCCTTGTTTACTTACCCCAATTCCCAGTGCCTAGAACAAAGCCTTCACAGAGTGCACCCTGATAATGTATTTATTCAATTAATGAATCTTCCAGGTACATGGTTCCCACCTCTGCCCACTGCTGTGACAGCAGGTGCATCATGAAAATGATGGGGGTGAGTGCAGACTGCAAAGCAGCTCACTGTCAATCACTCTCAGTTCACACAAGCACTGTGAAGACTGACAGCTTGTGAATACACAAGGTCACACAATTCACTTCTGAGCATCAGTTACCAGGAGGACATCAGAGTGGCTGAGTTCTCCTTAATGCTCTAGGAGTGCCCACAAGTGACCCATGTCCACTGCAATATGGGTCAGCAAGAGATAATGGGTGGTAAAGAGATTGTTTCTCTCAATTCCTATCATGAATCCAAAGGCGGGGGCGGGGCGGGTAGCCAGTTTAAATTTGGGTGGCTAGTTTTAGAAAGTACATGTACTTTATTGCTGTCAAACTTGTGTTTGGGTTTTTTTTTTCTGAGGGATAATGGGTTAATTTGGATAAAAAACGTTATTCAGAGATGGCTCAAGTTTCAATAAATCAATTCATTTCATTTCAGTTTTCACCTTGTGGTCCAGATCCTTTCAAGTCCTTGGCCCCAGGCTCTGTCTTTCTCTCTGGAGGTTCTACTTGTCTTCTCTCAAATAGTTACACTGGGTCAGGTTCAGGTGCACTCAAGCTCATTATCAGAGTCATTGAAAAGCTTGTGAGAAATACCGCAAGCTTTCTATTACATAACTCAGGGTTGAGTTTTCTGCTATGTGAACTTCTAAGCAGTAGGAAGCATGTTGCCTTTTTGACTGTATTAAATTATACCCCTGGAGAAAACCTAACTTATGTCCCCTACACACATACAATATAAGTTGTGTTGTTGCCCTAAGGATGAATGTGGCTATTTTATTCATTAATAGTGTATTGATGAATATGCTAATTATCCCAATTTCATCACCACATATTGTTCACAGGTATTGATATTCAACTCTGTATCCTACAAATATATATAATCAATTATGTTTCAATTCTTATATATATACACATACACACACACCAACAAAACTACTCTCCCAAGGAAAATATTGTCACCATTTGTATATCATGTAACCTTCAAGTATGTGCTATTTTTTGTCCCTGTATCTAACTCAAATCAGGTACTGGATTGTTTTTTTTTAATGGTTTGCTTTTTAAACTTGAAATCTCAGAAACAGTGTAATGCAATTACTGCTGTTCTACCTCCCCAGAGAGTTCTCTGTGCAAAGTCTTGGGAATCAATAAAGATGAAAGAAAAAAAAAAAAAGGTTACTGAGTATTCTTATATGATGATATGAGAAACTTGCTGTAAACATTAAGAACAATATATATGTAATCTCTTTTAAAAAGTTAAGAACATAAAATGTACATGTAAAGACTTAATCAGTTATTTAAAAATCTGATTACTGTGTATCATCCAGAGAAATTTCCTCACAGGTTTAATTTGGAACTACATTTAACTAGAAGCAATAGAAAGAGAAAATAAGATGTAGATAGTGAACAGCCCTGCCCATGTTTAGGTATTCAGCGGTGTGGAAATAAAGAATCAGGACCAAGATTCCTGTAACAAAAAAGTAATCCTTTTTGCCCTAATTAAATAACTTGTGTTTTTATTGGGTGCCCACTGAAGATGAATTTCTTACCAATGGGGCCTATTAATGAGAAACTACTATCTTTTAGATACTACAGCTTTTATTTAAAGATAGTAGTTTTTTAGAAACTACTATCTTTTAGATACTACAATCCAATTAATCCTCAGAAATCCAGAGAAATAACCATTTATGACTAGTAACCAGTGTTATATAAATACAAAATCAAGCAGTACTTTTTGTTGTTTTTTGTTTTTTTTAAAAAAAGAAAGCCTTTAAAAAAGAAAATGAAAAAAAATAAAGGACTAAACTAATTTATGGCCTACTTTATAATAAATAGGTAGCGGTAACCCCTTCCCTACTACGTTACCTAACGAAATAGCCTAACCAATGTATCAGAGTTTTGATGTTTTCATAAATCAGAGAAAAACATAAATTCACATTTGACATCACTACTCTTTTGACTGGACTATGGAGGCTGCTTAGCCCAGTCACAGGAACATGAGTAAACACCTATAGTTAGCGGGACTGTCAGAACTGCAAGCTTCCACTGAACACTTTAAAGTCTCTCATTCACAAAATAAAACCACCACAACTTAAACATACACTTTAGTGATAGTAGGAAAGTGAAATACATAAGAGAAGCCACTCACTTTCAAAAGAAGAATTTGCTCCTTTAAATCATGAAAGCCCTTAAATTCTCCTAAGACACTCAAGCACTCCCCCAATGAACTCAAGTAACCCAAGTGCACCGCCTCCCAACAAATCCTTGCATATTAATGACAGACAACAGAGTGGATGTTAACACTGTCCCAGCATCAACCCGATATTTTACTGGGTACTCTGAAGTCTGATATTAGGAATAAGATGAAGAGTACTTACACTATTAGAAATTAGTTAATGGTCTATTTTAAGATTTTTTTTTCCTAATGTATTAGTTGATATAAAATAACTTTAATGAGTTTTTGTCTGAGCTTTCATACTTATGTATTCATGTATGGCTATCTCACCATCTATACTAATTCAATTATTCTATGGTGGTCTACAAATGGTGAAGCATTATCTCAAAGGATTATGATGCTTTGTCTCATGGGAGGCAAATTAAATGTAATCTAAATAAACACACAGCTCGATAGCATAGACCAAATTTAATATTTTACTGTAGTATTTTCCTAAAACACTGAAAAAACTTTATAGGTGATTGATTTAACCCAGGATGCTTATTTTATTAGCCAGTTATACCTCCTGTGTTCAGTTTGGTGGATTTGGGCTCTTTCTTCCTCTTGCTGCTGTCGCTTAAGTTCCAGTAATTCACTCTAGGAACAATAAACGTATAAAAATATAGTTTCAATGAACACAGTTGTACAGAAGACACCAAATCAATTACATATTTAACCTTAGCTGGTGCAATATTTCATATTTGAAACTTTTACTTAAGTATTATTTGGATGTAAAATTACTTTCTTACGTAAGTGCGTGGCGAAAATAATTATGGCTTAGTCAAAGAGAATGGTTCTGTAAGTGTAAAATTGTTAGATTAAAAAGTCAATGTGGGGCCAGCCCGGTGGCGCACTGCTACAGTGCGCCGCTTGGGAGTACGGCGGCGCTCCCGCCAAGGGTTCAGATCGCACGTACAGACCAGCCGCTCACTGGCTGAGCGAGGTGCGGGTGCAACACCGAGGGTTGCGATCCCGTTGCCGGTCCCAGTCCGGTACGGGTGCGACACTGAGGGTTGCGATCCATTGCCGGTCACGAAAAAAAAGACAAAAAAGGAAAAAAAAAAAGTCAATGTGTATGATCAAGATATTAGACCAATAGGTACAGCATACACAGAGGAAAATACAATGTGTATCAAACTCATCTGTGGCTTACAAAGAAAAACAAATGAAATTTGTTTAGGAATATGACACAGTACTCTCTCAGTATTTATCATTGTTTTCCTAGTAAATTCATTGTAACTAACAAATTAATATTGGACTCAATTTTGTAGTGCAATTCTGTTAGTAAAACATTCTCCGTCTGGGAGAATAAGCACTCATCTACTAATGATTAGTTACATCTAATACCAGTAGAACTATGGGCTTCCTAGAGGGGATTCTTTGCTTCAAATAGATCACATTAGTATAACTAAGTCTCTAGCTTTCAACATTCTGATTATGTTCTTAGAAGAGGCAACTTAACTTCCAGACTCAGTTATAATAACTGACTACACAGTATTATACCAAAGAACTAGGTCCCAAGATTTCTCTAATACCCAACTGCCTACCTTGAGGCAGACTGAGTTTTAATCCCATTTCAAAGACAGAAAAAAGGCAGGGGGAAGAAAATTACTAGGCCTGATTTATAAATCGGTGTCTGAGTCAGAGGGATTTTCTGGTAGAAAAAATACTGTTACTTCTTAATGAAAACTTACCAATGAATGGTGACTGGTTTTTAACCCCCAAACTTCCTTGATGAAAAGTATAAAATAAATTCAAAGTTCAGATTGACATTTTTAAAACTTTATTCAAAGGCCACCTGATATTCCACAGTCTCCCAAATAAAAAGACTGGTTACTTATAATGTGATATTCCAAACATATAGTTCATCAATTCCTAAAGCACATTATTTAATTCTTAAACAGCACCAACAAGAGAAAATGAAACTTTTCAAAATAATCGAATAATATTCATTCATTTAACAAGCCTTTATTAAGCACCTAGATGCCCAGCCTTGTGCTAGTCTCACTTTTCTACAATGTCATAAAGTCTTTTATTTCCTTTTAATTTTTATTACTATAATACATGTATATAGTTTTTAAAGTTTGCCAATATCAGGACTACTTAATACTACCAAGACTTACACTAAAGTAAAAGCAGCTCCTGTCTTCTCCCTCACCTCCACAATCGCTTTCAATTCCTGTATATGGTTTCATCTGTCAATTACCCCCTTCTTAATAGCATGCATATTCTTCTATTTCTTAATTTTTTAAAAAAATTTTGTATTATCTTTTACTTCCTACTGTGGAAAAAGATTTATGTCTCTATTACCACCTCCACCCCGACTTCTCACGGAACACACCCATCCTCATCCTTACGCTGTTCCTTTTTGGTAACATTCATTGTGGTAAGGAAAAGGATCTAGGGGTCTTACAGCTCATTTAGGCTTCCAATTCATCCTACTGTTTTCAACCCTAGTCTTCAGAGGTACCAGGTGCCTCTAATTCCTGAACCTTAATCGCCTTGTGTCTTACAGCTTCTTGCAAATGAGTTCTGGCTTTTCCTGCTCCACTAAGTCAGTTACCACTGATCATCTACTTTGCATCTTCAGAAATTTTGCTGTTATCTCTTCTTTGCTACGGTCTCCTGGCCTTGTTCTTTTGTTTTTGTTGGCTTATGCCTTTAAAAAATAATCCTATAGTGTCATTTTTAGTGAGATATGGAGAAAGAGGGACTGGTCATAAGGAAATAAGATGTTTTTAAAATGCGATGTTTAACCAGAAGAAAAAAAAAATTTTTAAGGCTAGTCAAGAGAAGCAGTGGGTATGGAAAAGAAAGAAAGAAATCTGTAACTAGTTGTGATCAATTAGTTGTAAACACTGCTGCACTCAGACTGGCCAACATTTTCAAATAAAAATTTTACCAGAATTCTGTTACTTGACCCTTGCAACAATTCTCGAAGGCAGGCAAATAAAGTATTATTTGATGAATGAATGACTATTATGTTCGTTTTACTGAGGAGGAAACAAAGGATCAAACACATAGTTTAAGTGACTTGTCAAAAGCTAAATGGCTCATTTTTGGCAAAATAAAGACTAGGGTTTATGATTTCTTGTATCTAATCTTCTGCAGGATACACCCAAAATAAATAGCTAAGGTTAACTTCTCAGCAGTTCCTGATACTGAAGTAAAAATAGCCACAATGCAGAATTACAGGAGCCATTCACACTCAAAAGTTTTAACAGAACATATCTAACCTAAGCTCCAATCTAAATCCCTCTCATTAAAGTATACAAATTCTTCTCACATGAAGGAAGTCACTTCTCCAAAAAGCAACTTCTGGCATACAGTCCATTCTTAGTTTAATACAGTGAACTCTGAACAATAAACTCTCATTAGTTCTGAAATATGACACAAACACAGAAAACTATGAAACACATATACTATGTATACGTGCATATTATTACATACTACTTTAAAACAATTTTGAAGGTAATTTTTCAGACTTGGCAAAATGATTATGAAGTTTATCTGGAAAAAATAAACACGCAATTATAGCCATGAAAAATCCTGAAAAAGAAACAAGAAAAAACCAGCTCCACCAAATATTAAAACATATCATGAAACTATAGTAATTAAAACAATTTGATTGAGTCCAGGAAAGCACAATACACATGGAGACATAGCTTAACGTAAAGTGGGTGGGCTAAACCAACGCAGGAGAGACAGTCCAATGAATGATGATGGACCAGCCAACTACAGTGAGAGAAAAAGCAAAACTAGATCCTTTGATTTTGATACAAAAGTTAATTTTAAAGAGGTGTAAGATTTGAACCAAAGATGGAACCACAGAAGTTTTCAAAAGAGGCATAGGCAAATTTATTCATAAACTTGGACTGAGGAAGGTCTAGAAATCCTAAAAGGAAAAAGATTGATACATTTGACTATATAAGAATGCAAAGATTTCATTTGGAAAAAATACCATCGGCAAAATCAAAAAAACAAACTGTTAAATATTTATGACACACATAGGCCCATTCAATTTTCTTTCGTTCATTCATTAAACAAATATCTGAGTGCTTGCGAGGAACCAGGCTTGGATCTACGTGACAGGGTTACAAAGGTGAACAAGACAGATGAGATCCTCGCTCCTTAGAGTTTATATACTAGACAAAGAAAATCCATAAGCAAGTGAGAAAAATATCCAATTGTAATCCTGTGCAGAGGATTAAAACACACTGATGAGAGACTCCATGGCTCAGTGACTATTTTAGATTGAGGCTCAGGGAAGGCCTGAGAAAGTGCCTAAAGACCTCATATAAACCATTAAGGAAAAACAAACAAACAAACAGAAAAAGGGCAAAAAGGATAGGAACAGGCAGTTTGCAGATAAACTAGATTGCCCGTAAATTCAAAATGGTCATCATCTTCACTCAATCAAACAAAAATCAAAACAATGAGATAAAATTTTTCTATCATACTGGCAAAAATCAGCAAAGTCTGACAGAATCAGGTACATTCAAACTTTGATGGAATGTCTAAATTAGTGAAAACTAATTTAGTTTTTGGAGGACAATTTAGCAATAGCCATCAAGACATAAAATGTACACATCCTTTGCAGACAAAGATATACAAAGATATGTGCAAAGATATACATATAGATAGTCACAGTTGTATTATTGAAACTATAAAACTTCAGGGAAAATCTTAATACCAACCAATAAGGAATTGACACAATAAATTAGAGCATCCACACAATGGAATACTATGAAACAGTTACAGAGAGCAAGATAGATCTGATGTGAGGTTGGAGGCAGCCTATGAAGAGATCTTTAAGATACATAAAGTGATTAAAAGATGGGTTTAGAGGAGTTTTCCTGGGACCCTTCCATATAAATTTTTAAAAATACATAGATCCATTTTAACTTTTATATGCTGGAATATATCATATTAAAAACATTTTTATGGAAAAATACACAAGAAAATGTTAACTGTAATTATCCCTGGGTAGGAGCTTGGAGGGTGGATGGACAGAGGAAGGAAGCTTTAATATCATATATACTCTTTGTTCTTTAACTTTTGAACCATGTGTATATTACCTCCTCGTATCATCAACAGGAATTTACTGTCAGTGTGAGAGACCATTTCTGTTTCCTTATGCTTTCCTTTCTTTAAAAATACCAATAAACACATTTTTTATATTTAGAGATGCAAAAGAGGAAAACACTATATTATGAAGCTAAGAACTGTTCAGGAGGAAGAAAAGAGGAAGGGAAGAGCATACATCATTGAATTACAGAGGCAAGGATAGAGAGACGAGATAAAAACCAGGAGGGAGAATGGGATGGGGAGCGGATGAGGCTTGGCCATGCAGGAACGCTGCTCCAGATGGCCGAAGGGGCGGTGCTGGCACGGGCACACTCAGCATTACTATCCCATAACTAGCAAAGCACATTTACTAGGAAGAGGCTGGTTTTTCTTTGGTACCAAGAAAGATGATTTTAACTAATTAATTTGTTCAGCTGAACTGACAGCCACTGCAGATGTGTCTGCATGCCTTATAAGTATATTCTTGGTTCATTTATTGGGATCTCATGCACAAGTGCAGTATCTAGTCG